ACAAAAAAAAAAAAAAAAAAAAAAAAAAAAAAAAAAAAAAAAAAAATTCGAATTGTCATTATTTGCTAGTCAAGGAAGGGAAGGCCCTGGCATCGTTAATGTTGGGTGGGTCTCTTTTCTTAAAAAGTTTCTCGTCCATCTGTATTTTCGCTTTGCCTTCCATTTTATTATTCCAATTGGCTTCATCCGATTTTTTATAGCTTCGATAACCTCTGCGAAATCCTGGGATTCTATCAACTCTTCCCCCTTCTTCCAAAATATATTGATAAACATTTATTGCTTTCCTCTTAGGATGATCCGATTTCATTTCATCATCCGCGTGGTCATTTCGCTTCGTCGTGCTCGCAGAATTTGTTGTAGCTTTGCTCCTTTCACTATTCAATGCATTTTTTTTTGTCTTTTTATCAGTATTCTGCATGACACTTTTATTTGAAATTAATTTCTTCTCCTGCTGTTTTCTATACAGGTCATAATCAATTGTAACTGAGTTATGTTTCCTTCCCACGTTTGCGCTCTCTTCATTATTCTTACTTAAGGATTCTACGTGTGCTTCTCTCTTTGTGTTTTCATACTTGCTTCTGCTATCGTTGTATTCGTTGAAGATTCTCTGTAGGTCAAGTATTAATATAGTGGGGAGAAGAAAGGGGTAGTGGTGGTGTAGTGTGCGTTCATACATAAATGGAAAAAAGCTCGCACGCGTGGGATACTGCATACGTGTAAGGGGACGCAGTGTCGTTTGCACTGTTCATTGACGACGTGTTGACGCCGCGCTGACACCGTGTTGACTTACCTCCCTGTGGTCGAACTTGTTATAATTATACCTAGAGTTATAGTTCCTGCTGTCGGTGCCCATCTTATAATCATGGGCCCTGGAACCTGAATAATAATTACTGCTGGATAAAATATTCGTTGATGTGTTACTGTATCCTGTGCCGAGCCCACCTCCTACTCCTCTCTTGCGAGGGAATTTACTTCTTATATTATTGCCCCTTAGATGATAACTGTCGCGGTTACTTCTGCCTTGGCTACTTTCATGTAACTCGTTGATGGATGATACACCAGGGTATTTGTTATACCTATCATTATATGCGGTAACCTTGTTGGCACTAACATTTTTATTTGGCACGGTTGCTTTGTGGTCCTTTATGTCGATTATTTTTTTTTTTTCTTAGGGGAAATTGAGGGAGAACCATACATATGTGAACCGTTAATTGTGGGGTAAGACTCACGTGCAGTGGAGTTATGTCTGGGGAGCCTCCACAGTTAGCCTTATATTATAACATTCTACAGGATGATCTTTATGCCGCATAAGGTTACAAATTATGCGGCATTCCCCTTTGGTGCGTGAAAAAATTGTCCATTTTTCCAGTGCAGCAAATATACACAATTTACACAGCACAGTCGTATGGAAGACCTGCTCTGTGTATAACTGCCCATGATGCAAAACAAATACGGTTAAGTAAACATATACATACGGATCACTTATACATGTATGCTTTGGCCCCTCTCGTTAATGTTTACCTGGGTTATTGCTGTGGGACCTGTCCTCATTGGAACTATTTACTTCGCGCTTCTTGGGTTCCTTCAATCCTTTGTTCTCATTTTCTTCATCTGAGTTGTCCGTATCGAACACGGAGTACTTGTTCGTCGTGTGGACGCTGTAGTGAATCTTCGCCGCCATGTTTTCGGCTCTGCAAACCTGTTGCCAATGCAAATGGGAAGGAGGGGGTGGGGGGGTGGGGGCAGTTTAAATCAATTGAGCGGTTGCGCTGTTAAGCAGTTACGTGGATACGTGATTAAGCGGATAGGCGCATAGGAAGCTGCGCTTCTTATGTACTACGCGCTTGACCGCACTGTAATGTCACATGCATGTGCGAGCCCATTCAGGTGAGCCCATTTGCCGTGGTGCGTTGTACGATCTATTCATACATGAGTTGACAACAAGCATACACAAGTGTTCAGTTAACTGGGTAAGAAAAAAAAAAAAAAATATAGCATGTCCGTCGTAGGGTGAGGAACATCAGCAGCAACAGTACAATGCCGTTGCACGTATTTTTATTTTTTGACCTATAGAAATTTGTGCGCATACCTGAATTACTCACTTTTGCAGGAAGGGGGTTACAAAGTTTAACTGTTTGCAGCTTCGAATATGAGGGGAATGATAAGCTGATCTATTTATAACAATCAAATGAAGGCATAAAATGAGAAAAAAAAAAAAAAAAAAAAAAAAAAAAAATTGATTCGCGCAGCTAAATACATATATATAATACGCGTGATCATGACGTGCTCTGGCAAGTAACATGTGCCACTTTTACAGATCGTGGGAGGTGTAAGTTGCTTAACGCAAAAAATTGTTAGCGGCTGTAATTCCACTGCAAAGTCCGCTGAATTGCGCCCTTGAAAAAAGGCAAGTAGTGGCAGAAGCTCCTATATGGGCAGTTGGCCCACATGGGGGTATAAAAGTGCAACAAGGGTGGAGTAAACGAGCAACGTGAAACGAGCGATGCATGTTGAATATACCTTTTGTGCACTTCCGTTTCTCGCATAAGGTGTTTGTGCATATTCGTTTTAGCTCATATGTGCTTTCATTTTTGCACTCATCTTTTGCGGCTGCGATTCCGCATTGCCGCGACGTCCTTCACTGTGTTGTTTGTTGACTTGTTTGCTTTTCATCCGCCACCCCCCGTTGCACCTTTTTCGTTTATGCCTAGTTTAACAGGCAGGAAGAGAAAAGGCATTAGCAGGTCTTCCCCATAGTGAAGCATAACAATTCTTACAACCCCCCCACCCCCCTCGCCTTAATGAATACCTGTCCTCGTTGGGCCCACCTCAGAAAAGCTCAATTTCTGTTGCATGACAGAGGGGAAACCCCAAAAGGGGAACGTTAAATGAAAAAGGCATTAATCGCATTTTCGAGCTACGCTGCACATAAGCCACGATTCTTGTTTCTTTTTTTTTTTTTTTTTTTTTTTTAAGCGGACATTTTGAAAAAAAGGGAAATTTCGAAAGACCCCGAACATATTGAAGAAAATAAAACAAAGTTTGGTGGCGATTGCATTTGCAGCAAATTGACACAAACTGAGATGCGTGCTGTAACAGCAACACTCCTCTTTACTCCCACTTGGAACACATCCCGTTCTTGTGGCAAACGAACTGATATGATGTTTTACAACCAATGGGGATGAAGTCATTTTGGGGATGGGTATTTTTTTAATTAGAGGTTCATACAATTATGCACAGGCATCACGCGGGCATTACAGGGGCAGTCCCGTTTTTTTTTTTTTTTTTTGCCCCTTGTTGACAATCACAAAAAAGATGTGCATTTTAAACAACAGGGGGGAACCACCACCCTTGGGTGTACTCTCTTTAAAAACAGTTAACAGAGAGGAAGGCGAAGGGACACCTGTGACACACAGGGTATGTGTATCTACTTAATTATAAAAAAAAGTAACACCGCATAGTACTACTGCACTGCGCTTTTTTCATTCAAGGGACCAGTGCACATATAATAATGGGAGCCAGTGTCATGCGCTATTCACGTACATTTTGTGGACGAAAAAAATTATTAAGCTGTATAGGAAGAACCAGACGAGGTGGTTCAGGATGAGTAGCCTCAAAACGTTCGATGCGTAATCTTCCAGGGTGAAACTAATAAGGTCTGCCAAGTGTGGGAGTGAAAGAAAAAAGGAAAAGAAAGAAATGTGACCTGTCAGCGATGTGATGCGGGCAAAAAGGTGGTTATCCCCCGTTTGGAATAATTAAACTGGTTATGATTCATTCTGTAAAAGCCTTTGTATATCACTCATCCCTTCTGCCCTCCCTTATTAATTTGCTCCCCATTTTGTCCTCCACTTACACAACACGAGGAACACCAAGTAGGGGTAAGACTGCCGCATGCTGTTGGAATAATTCTTCCTGTCTAGCATGATCGACTCAAAAAACAGAGTTGCATACAGGTAATGAGACAAAGATATGACTGCCCCCATTTTTAACAAAATAACCGTAATCGCATCAGTATTCACTTCAAAGCTATGCATAAAATAAAGCGCACTTAAATTATAGCAGAGCCAAAAGTGAAATATTATTACCACCCCCATGCTATTGAACATGTATAAAGAAAATAAGTAAATCAAAAAGTATAGAATTAACATCACTTTGCATTCTGACATAAATCTGGTAGCTTGATTGTATAGTACGTAACTTTCTGAGTAAAAATATGTATTCTTTATGTTACTCCTTTTTACAATATTGTTTATTCTGTTCAAATTTTCCATGTTCTTTACTTGGTTGGATGTGTAATTGTGCAGGACAAAGCCGATTCGGCTGCTCGATATGCTGTGCGGGTCGTGCATCTGAGGGGTAGGGGGTGGGGAGAGAGAGAAAAAAAAAGACACGTTTAGAGACGTGGTAATGAAGAGAGGGTAAAAAAAAAAAAAAAAAAAAAAAAGTTCATATGGAAATTTCAATCGTATATTTTGCGTTTTGCTTAGATGGGATGCGACGTCTCAGTGGAGAGGTGCCACCCATCTGTGGAATGATCACACGACGTACCTTCACATAATCGCCATAGAACAAGTGTGGCCTTATGTTGTAGTACTGGGGGAGGATGTGGCCAATTTTTTCCCCGTACAACGTTTTAATCTTAAAAAATTGACTATCATATATCCCGTCCTCTTTGTGATTCATCCATTCGTACACAATTTGGTAAAAGCTATCACATGTCTTTTCCTCATCTTTGAAAAAAATTTCTTTTAACTTATTCAAATGGAGTTCTTTGCCCTCTTTATGTGGAATGATGTTATGACATGATTTTTTATAGCGATCCAAATCGTACTGATTAGTAAAAGAGTCTATAGTGCGGCAGTCATTTTTTAATAATTCAAATGCATGAACCCACGATACAATGGGTTCATGAATACATCCTTCCTCCTGCATTTGGTTTACAAGGTTTATTATTACATTTGCGTTTTGTTCATCCCCGTAGTCAAACTCGTGTGAAGAAGGCAACACCAAATATGCTGGCTCGATTACGAACCCTGCCCTTTTCTCAAAGTTTTGAATAAACCTTCTCAGTGGCGATTCCTGCGTCATGTAATGGTACACATCCAGGTGAATCTTCTCGTTCCTTATTAGGAAAGTTAGGGAGAACGCTAAAATGAGGAGGAAAAATAACACAACGAGGAGGAGAAATCCCTTCCTTGGGGTTCTCCCACAGCTTGCTTTATTCCTGTCTTCCTTCTTTTCAGTGCAATTTTCCATACCATTCGGGTAAATGCAATTTCCTATGTGATGCTTCTTCCCATCTACACCTTCGCATGAACAGCGTGCGTTGGGGGAAATATGGCTCACCCCATGTGCAGAGTTTCCACTCGATATGCAACTATTGTGTACCATCACTCCACTATTCACCACCTCTGAAAAGGCTATAACATGCTCCTCGGGTTGATCCCTCGACGTGCTACATCCCGACTGCGCAAGTGGTAACAATTGAGATGGTGAAAGCAACAAGTGGTTGTCCCTGTAAAACAAAAGGCCAAACATGTTGTTAAAAAACACAGCGTAGTAGAGAAACAGACAAAGGATGGCAAAAATCGAATTTAGAGAAAACACTTGGACGATTCTGTAAGTGCAGGAAAATCCAACCAAGTATAGGGACAAAACGATTAAAGTAATTTTGCCCACAAAATAAAGTGACTTGTAGCTAGCTCTCAGATAATACTTATTCATATCTACAGATTTGTTCTTGGAAATATTTACGCTCCTCATTCTGCGTATTATCATGTTGGAAGGTTGCACTACGCACTTGTTGCGATAAAATATGTTGACGCAGCAAAATAGGACGCTTAGAAAAAAAAGGGGGAACAAATTTAATAAATAAATTCGTAGAACATGAATTTGGAAAAACAAATTGATGAAAAAGGTGGAGAAAAAGGAAAAGAAGGTCAGGGTATATACAGACAAGATAAGTAAAAACTTTTTCCCCCTTTTTCTTTCTGGTCCCTCGTCTTGTCCATTATGCTTCAAACCGTCCGACGAAAAGGAACATGCATAAATGAATATAAAGAGAAAGGACAAAATGGCAAACACGTAATTTGATTTAAAACCTACACTGATGGATGACTGTTCGTTATCCTCAAGTATCTTTTCATTCACAACAGCCATGCTCCAATTCCTATCCTGATTTATCTCATGAACATAAGTACTGCTGTCCAAATTTTGAATCGTTACAAACTTTTTCTCCCCTGCATTCAGCAATTTCACATGCATGTTCAGCAGACGATACCATTCATTCAAAGAGGAGTCGTCAACACCTTCATCGAAATTGAAGACAAATAAAAGAGCCTCCACATTTTTAGACAGGTCAGATGTTATGTCCTTTATCTTCTTTCTCTGAGTGTCGAACTTATGAGGCTGATATAAAAAATTGGGCAAAAAAATAAGTGCGTTGTAGAAAAAATTGCCCACAGATCTTTCGTCCTTTTCTAGGAGATCATCAAAATATTCTTCCCAATTAGGTGTCGTGTCATATTCTGCATTTTGAAGTTCCGAAATGGTGAACAAACCTAACACGAAGCATTTAGACTCCATCATAGGAACATCAAACCGTTTACACATTTCACTCCAGTTTTTTTTATTTCTTGTTTTCATTTGCTTAAAAAATTGCACCAAAAAGAAAATGTCTTTAAGCGTATCGTATTGTAGAATCGTTTTCCCCTCCTCCTTGTCAAGATAAAACAACAACGTTGCTGCTTTTTCCTTTTTATAAAATTTAAAATAATCTTCCACTTTATCCCCTATACTGTCACTTGTGTGAATCATTACATCGCTTGCGTTGCCGACATTCATTTTTATGAATTCCTCTCCATTTATCTTTCTCAGAATAGAGGTTAGAACTTCCGACCTATTTTCCACTTCACTAAATATGTTCACATAAAGAGAGATGCTCATAAGGGTCACAATGAATAATCCTATGGTCACACTTAGCATGACGCAGCATGGTCTGTGTAAAGTCAGCTTTACATAATTTTTGCATAATTCGTGAAGAAAAGGTTTCTTCTTTTTCTTGACCACTACATTGTCGCATCTTGAGTCATCGCAAGGGGGTGTCCTACCGCTTGCACAAGCATTGTGGCCATCCTTCGCACTGATGCAGCGAAAGGGATTTGCTTCCGACTCTTTGCATGTGCCGTCGTAGCCTACATTTCTTACATCCTGAGGAAAGGAGCATACATTTCTACCGTTAGTGTTGTCACGCACCACTTGATCGTTCAAATGGTTACTCCTGTCCTCTTCCTTTTGGGACTTACACTCGTTGCTATGAGGAATCATGTCTTAACTGCGATGTACAATGGGGGCTGTGCTACCAGGGGGAGAGCCGTGTGAAGGGGTTATACTAGTGTAGAAGCTAACAGCGCAAAACGGTATAAATTTCGAAACCGAAAAATGAACACTGAGAAGGGTACCCAGAGAACGGAAACAATTTTGCAACCCCCCGTCTGCGTACTAGGGAAACTCCTCAGACCTTCGCGCAGACCTGCAATGACGCGTTCAAAAATGTAGAAATTGTAAAACACAAAAAAAATGTTATTTCTCTCAAAGTTTAAGTCAAGTTACCTCCGCGCAGAAATAAATTTATAACATGTCTCACAAGAAAGAAAAAAAAACCAAAAAACTAACATATTATGACATAGTTCCATGAACGTGTTTATGTTCCATTGCACGGTCGAGTTATATTTAAAAAATTTCTCTATCTTAACAGAGTTGCATTTAACCATACGTTTCATTTGTTCTTAATTTTTTTTTTTTCCTGTTCTACTTACCACCGAATTGATCTATCCCGTTTTGCTTATTTTATTTTTTTCGTTTTTCTGCAATGTTATAAAGTGCATGTGCATATAGTTACACACGCGTGCAGGCAAGTCCCTTTTTTTTTTTTTTTTTTTTTTCCCTTTTGCATAACCCTTTTATAACCCTATTCACGCGGTAAAGCGCACTTGGGTATGTCCCCAGCGGGCAAGTACTACGTGCATTGGTGGTGGATAGTACTTATCCAGCAAAAATAAAACTTAATTTGTGCTACTTACTAAAAAAGACCGCAACAGGGGATTATGTTTTTGTTTTTTTAAATTATGTGTTACTACTTGTTCAAGGGGGGTTGAGACAAAGATGGGTACTCAAATGCCCCCCAGTAGCTTCACAATTTGGACATAAAAAATGGTACAAACAAAACAGCCTATTCCGTCATTATCCATTTTTGGAGGGTACCTTTCTCACCACATGAGCAGTTCGCACCGGCCTATACTTATTTGTATTATTTACACTACATGCACATGTTTAACTGAAGGTGATATATTGGGTTGTACACCTTGCGAAGACATGGTTAGCCAGCAACATTGTGCCGCCATCATCTCTTCTTAAATGGTGCTCCTTCGGCTAATCAATATGAGCCAATCGACTTTGTAGAAACATCGTATGGAAAGCAAAATGTACATACCTTTTTATATGTGTACGTACTTGGGCACGTTACACTTATAAGATTACAAATGAGGAAAAGAACTACAAGCCAAATTGGGGTCAACTTTTCCACCACACAATTTAGCGAACCCTAGATTATGGTTATTTGTCAGAATGCAAAAAAAAAAAAAAAAAGAAATTAAAAATAAGAAATCCTACATGCGAATCAAGCGGCAAACAGGCATTATCACTCATTTGTGCACCTTTTCAAAAATGTCCCTTTGTTGCTGCCATGTTCGAATTGGTCCATTACAGGGGGTAGCAACGTCGTCGCTAACAAGTGGCCATCGGAAGGAAGTTGGAACAACACCCATGGGGGTGCATTTTGGCGAGCTGATAAAAACATCAAATAATGCCAAGCTATTTTTGGCATGTTGCAATTTGGGGGATCTCTTTTCCGCAGTGTAGCGCAGACTTGTATGTTTTGCTGAACATACTGAAGGATGCTCAGACAAATATAAAACACTTGTGGGGCATCCTATTTTGTCATTCAACATAAGAACATTTAAATGCGTGGAAATATCTGATACATTGGTGGGGGTACAAAATAGGCATTCCACTTAAATGGTCATTTTTCCTGTTGTTTTTTTTTTTTTTTTTTGGCGAGTGCGACTTTAATGAGGTACAAAAAAAAGCCGATCTTTTTTGTCCGCCATGCGTACATGCACTTAGGTGCATACACATTTGAGTATGCGAACATACAAACACACGCAGCAAACGTCGTTATATACGTAGCTACGCGTTCTTCGGTGCATTCAGCAACCCTGACAGAGATGAGGGTGGGGTAGACAGACACCTTCACCGCGACATGTTCCATTTCCAGCTTTCCTTTTGCACGGGATTGACCAAATTTTCAAACGCAAAACAAAAAAATGGCACTCTACAAAGTGCGGAAGCTTTAATAAAGGGGCGCTCACCGGACAGGTTACACTCGGCGGGAGAATGCACAATCGAATACATAAGAAGACCCACGTGTGTGTTTACCCCTTCAAAAAAATATATATTCTTACAGATGAGCATGTCGCGTAGCATAACTTGTGTGCAGCTATTTGTACATGCGTTAGCTGGGCTGGGGACCCTAGCTACACGCCTTCCTCGAGCGCCTTTTCCGCCCACATCTTTGATCACATATTTTGCAGTACATGCGTATGTGCGTATCCATATAACTATACGTACACGTGTTTGCCTTTGTGCTGGTAGGAAAATTGCGAAATGCTTTTTCTACTTGAAGTTTCGTTCACTTTGCTCGCCCAAATGTGGTAGCCTTTTTTTGCAAATAATGCCTCACTTCGCAAGGTTATGCTTTCTTATATATAATTGTTTTTTTTTTTTTTTTTTTTTTTTTTTCCCTTTTGCATA